TCTGAGAGTGCCTCTCTTGTTCTAATTTTTAGTCTTGGTTTAGTAGGAGTTCTTGGTTAAATTGGTACTATTGGGCTGTTTCTTCAGGGGCAGCTGATCTCAGTCGGTGAAGTATATACTTATGATTCTGGTGATCTGTTTTGGTGGCTGGGCAGCGCCTTCTTCTGTGTTCCCAGGTCACATTTTGTTCATTCGTCAACTCCTCAGCTGATCTTGTTTCTTCAGACTTCAAACTGTAGGGATCTGAATTCTCTCCCAGGTGGATTTCAGCTGAGCGAGGTAGTCTCACCAACACCTCCAAGTTGTTGGGTTTCGCAGGATCAGCAGCTGGGCCCTGGGTTGGCCTCAGACGGAGTGTTCAGATTCATTCTGGTTCTGTCCCATGGAGATAGCTTCTTCCTTGGGTGTTGGAGTTAGAGGCATCCCTGTTCCAAGCTTTTGATTAAGAGTTTGTTTTCACTAGCTCTTCAGAGGGTAACAGCTCTCATTCTGGTCTTTATTGCGACTGTGTTTCGGCCGCCTCTGTGCTGTGCCTGCCTCCACTCTGGGCCTGCCTGCCTCTGCTAGGCCAGTCTACCTCTGCTGGCCGCCGCCGTGGGCCTACCTGCGTCTGCTTGTCTCTGCTGCCGTGCCTGTCTACCTCTGCGGGCCGCTGTTGGGCCTGTATGTGTCTGCCGTCTGCCTGTATCAACAAAGTTTTTTAAAAGCATAATTTATGAATGCACTAACTTCTTTTTTTTTTTTTTTTTGGTTTTTCAAGACAGGGTTTCTCTGTGTAGCTTTGCGCCTTTCCTGGGACTCACTTGGTAGCTCAAGCTGGCCTCGAACTCACAGAGATCCACCTGCCTGTGCCTCCCGAGTGCTGGGATTAAAGGCATGAGCCACCACCGCCCGGCGTACTAACTGCTTTTTATAGTTCTTATCAGCTGAGTTATCACCAGTGAAATGACAGAAAGCCATGTAATTGACAGGGAGTGATTTTCCACACACTTTCACATATTTTCAAGAAGTTCTATTGACTGTATTTGACATGTCATTTAAAATTTTCTCACTAACATATTTCTGTAGAAGGACATTTCTGGTCCTGACTCCCTGTTCCCAAATACCCGACAGCTGCTTTCCAAATTACCACACAAAGGCTTATATTAATTATAAATGCTCAGCCGATAGCTCAGGCTTATTACTAACTAACTCTTACACTTAAATTAACCATAATTTTTATCTATGTATACCCACATAGCTTGGTACCTTTTCTCAGTGCAGCATTATCATCTTGCTTCTCTGGGTTTGCTGGCGACTCTCTGACCCTGCCCTTCCTCTTCTCAGACTTCTAGTCTGGCTTGCCTTGAACTCAGATTCACCTGCCCCTGCCTCCCAAGTGCTGGGACTAAAGGCATGTGTCACCACTGCCTGCTCACAAGAATGATTTTAAGCCGGGCGGTGGTGGCCCACGCCTTTAATCCCAGCACTCGGGAGGCAGAGCCAGGCAGATCTCTGTGAGTTCGAGGCCAGCCTGGGCTACAGAGTGA